CCTGCCCTGGGCTCTGCTGGCACGTCCGGCTCCTCAGGAGGGTCACTGTCCTTCACTTCAGCGTGAAATAAACTTTACTGTAGACACTGGGCGTCCTTTCATTTCTGTCCCCGCAAAGGGAAGGCAGTGCTGGCAGTGTGTGGAAAGGGGACATGGGGGTCCCCACGTCACCCCTCACGTCCTGTTCACCCGATGCCTGCCTTTGACAACCTCGCCCAGAAACCATTCGTCCCAGACCCTGCGCCTCCCCTTGCGGCACGCCTCTAGGATTAACCTCAGACGCAGAGGCACCCCCACCCCTTCCCAGCTGCTGCCCCGCCTGCCCCCTCCTTCCTGGCATCATGGAGCAGGTTTAAGGATTCAACTCTTCAGGAGGGCGTCTGGTGGCCTCACTCAACAAGAAAAGACGACTGTCACCCCAGCCAGTTTGGCTCAGTGGGTAGAGCGTTGGCCTGCGGACTAAAGGGTCCCGGGTTCGATTCCAGTCACGGAAACATGCTTGGGTTGTGGGCTCCATCCCCAGTAGGGAGCATACAGGAGGCAGCTGATCAATGATTCTCTCTCATCATTTATGTTTCCCTCTCCCTTCTGCTCTGAAATCAATACAAATACATTAAAAGACTTGAATGTCAACCTGGGAGAAGTGTTCAGTTGTGCAAAGAACAAGCTGTTTCTTTCTCCTTAACGCGCCTGTACTGGGTATTGACACACATTCTCACACACACACACACACCCCCACACACGCTCTTGCCTGAAACTCCGGGATGTTTCGGTGACGCTTTGTGGGACCTGGTAGGGTACAGAGTAACGGCCCACAAGCAGCGATTCCTCATGCGTTTATGAGCCACGCCAGGGGCGTCGACGGAGAGTCAACTATGAAACTGGGGGAGCTCAGGCGTGGTGGACAGCCAGAGGCAGCTGAGCCAGGACCCAGGAGGCGCTCCCTGGGGACGGAGACAGCACACAGCCCTCGAGAGTGTTTCTGACATGAGTACATGTTCTAGAAGGTTCTGTCCCCCGACCGCCTGGCTCTGGGCTTCCTTCCCCAACGCAGGCCGGCCCTCGGGAGCCGCCGCCGCCGCACCCTCCTGCCTCACGCACAGTGACAGCAGGACAAGGCCTCGGTCCCAGAGAGGTGAGAGCGAACAAAACTTAGGGAGTGAAGAGCAAGGGGCCGAGGACACGCTGGAAGCAGCACCGGCTCCGCCGGGCAGGGCGGCCGCCCTCAGTCGGGGTCAGAGTCTGCGTCGGAGGAGAGCTGGCCCTCCATGCTCTCGCACAC